CTCTGTCTGCCTCTCATGCTAGCTCACTGCTACTCCTAACCGCAGCTCTTCATCCTCCCAACTTTAGTCAGTTCCTATCCTCCAACGTTGCTCCAGCAATTTGTATGATTTTAAACCACAGCCAACTGAAATTAAAATGATCAAGATGAACAGAAATAGCTGGATTTTTTTTAAACATACCCTTAAATAAACGTTCTCAGGGATTCTTCAGGAGCTTGGGGTTTTTATTTTTTGTTTTTCTGTAATGATCAGCTAAAAGCAAACGCGTCACTCTTATTTGTCTCCTCATGCTGTTGGGGGAGAGTTTGCTGTGCGCTCGTTGTGAGAGCTGTTGTGGCTGTGTCTATATTTAGACATCTTTCTTCCTACGCATTTTCAGGGTTGGTTGTTAAATAAGAAAATCAAATGACGCGCAAAGAGACTCTGCGATAGGAGAGAGCAGGCAGGAAAGGGGAGGGAGAAATCAAAGCCAATCGGCTGGGCCGCCTCCCTTGACATGACAGCCCCTGCTTGTGTGTCGCTGTGTCTGTTGGAGCTGTAGAAGCAGACGGCGGTAGACACTAGGGTGTAGAGGAAGCACAGCTCTGGTGACTATCAGCGCTGACCCTGACTCTATTTCCTTTAGTCCTTTTTTTAAAGGGAGGTGTAGCCAATAAGAATTGGCTGTCTCATGTGAAAAGCAGAATAGTTTGGCCATGTGAGTATACCATGATCTATTCCTAAACTGACTCAGGATGAGTTGCATTACATCCTGTAATTTTGAGGCCAGATTTGGCCTCTGAGGACAGGAGGATCTGCTTGATCTGACTACAAATCAGGAGACGGCACCTAAAAATATCATAGTAAACAAGCGGTGCACAAAGTAGAAAACTGGATCTTTGAAAGTCACAAAAAAAACTGTTTGTTTGGAAAAACCTGATTGGTTTTCTGTTTTCCCAAGTCAGGACTTGCTTTTATCTACCCAGTGAGTTTGAAGCGTCCTGATCGCCCTTTCACCTCCCTAACCCAACATCAGCTTGCACTGCTAGTAGCAATAAGGGAGGAGGAGAGTCGGTTTTTGTGTCGGGCTGTGAGCCACGTAACCCCAACAGACCTACGCCTTCTGATGACCTGATTTCTCCATAACCATATCTCTCACTGTGGTTGTTTTTGTAACCTCCTCTTTTGTGTGTCAACAGAAATGAACATAGACCACAACATTTCAGCATGCAGATCACTTTTAGGTTTTGTAATTAGCGTGAAAATAGCACCAGCTAACAAAATGCACCTAAATATTTGAATAATAAAATGCTGCTAAATATTGTAATGATCAGATTTTGTAGTAAATTTTATTGGCAGTTGCCTCCGTAAGCATTACACATGGGGTGGTCGTCGGTTCCAGAATTTTCTATCAGAGTAGCCTTAATAAATTAAGTTTTCTTTGGGATGGATGGACAAACAATGTCCCTCCCCCACCTGTTGATTTAAGCTCTAGGACAGCTGGCTGAAATAGAGCTGCTGCACCTTTTAATTACTTAAGAAAAAAAGGACATATTTTGGTGCTTTGTGTTCTGAAAATGTATATCTGTAAAAAAAATAAAGATAAATCTCATTGCAATTTGTAAGGCAGTGACAGTACCAGTTGTTTTATGTCCTTTGCTGATGTGATGCTGTACAGGCATTCATTATGATTAAAGTTGTAATTAAATATCTATTGTTTAGCACTGCTTAAAAAAAAAACACTAGAAATTATTTATTTTCCCAGGGCTCCTAGAAAAGAATGTTGTTTTTTTCAAAAGTTCTTGAAAAATATTGTAGGATTTAGGTTTTTGTTGTGCAGATTTTCAACATCATCCTATTTGTCGCTTTCGTCCGACATCTATCATCAGTGTCATCACTCTGTCAGCATTTTTCTTGTTCCTCCATCCCAGGAGTTCTGCATTTTAATTTCTTCTTCTAAAAAAGGAAATCATAAACTTTTTCTTGCCTTTGCAACCTTGAGCTAAAAAAATAAAAATGTAGGATGTCCATCTTTTATAAAAAGATTATTTTTTAAGCTCATGTATTACAGTTAATCTATTACCTTGTCCACTGTAGAATTATTTGTTGCCTGTTTTTTTTTTTTTTTTAGATGAAGCAGTTGATTTTTTTTCTCCCTTTATTTTTCTGTTAAGACTGAAATACAGTGAAATCTCATTCATTTGTTTTAGTCATTTATCATTCATTGACTTCTGGCCCATACCTAGAGTGCATCGCTGCTGTTCTGTTTCGATGTGGGGTGTAAACACACTGGCCTCCCAGTCTAAATATCATTTTCTAGGACTGCTCCCAGAGAGGCCATGCTATCCTTGGCAGGTGCACCAAACTGCCTGTGTCAGCAAGAGGCTAGAATGGACAGCAGAGGCGGTGGGATCTGCTCCCTAAGTCTGCTGTAACAGGCTGGACTGCTGCAGGGACCCCCCCCCCCCCCCCCCCCCCCCCCCCTCTCTGGTGGCTGTCACTCATCCTCTGCACAGCAGATGCCGTTTCCATGGTGTTGTTTTGCTCCGCTGACAGGTGGGCTCTGACGCCATTTCTCCTCCCACCTCCAGGCCAGACGTCAAATGCTGTTGTCTCTCCTCTGCACCAAAAATATAAAGCAAAGGGGGGGTTGCTAGAATCTCCCGGTTAGCTTTGTACCCGACTGCGTTTAACAGAGAAGCACTCATTCCCCCTATCGGTGCCAGATCTTAGGCCCCAACAGCCACATTGAATGCCTTTTGAGTGAGGGTATCTTAAACCTGCCATCCGCTGCTGCCTTTTTCTGGTAAAGACCTACGGTGACGTTTTTATCTCAAAGTGTTCTTTGAAGCTCCGCGTTTCACATGTATGGGAAAATCCCACTGAAATGTTGCTGACGCCTCAGAAGAAGGGTTGCTAGGTAACCTGATGTCATCGCACAGCTCTAGTGTATGGGGAGGTGAAGGAGCTCATTAGCCACATGTGGTAAACGCCTCTTGTTTGCGATCATGCCGGTTAAGATATGAGAGACACTGCAGCATCTGAAATATGTGATTAGATCAGTTATAGAATGAGAATCATGAAGGGTGAAATTCACACAGTGCAGATAAGAGCACTTTAAAAGATCTAAAAGTTGGCTTTCTTTATCTTGACCATTGAGATTTCACAGCATTGCCTTCACGCTGCATTCTTCCATGTTTGCTTTAATTACTGATGATTGATGAATGACTGCAGAGCTTAAGAGCAGAGTGGGGGTCAACACCTAGAGCAATAACATCCTCTTTATGTTCCTCTTTTCATACTCCAGTCGAGATGCTTTTATTTTCAGCTCTTTTCACCACCCAAGGTCACATCTTTCAGATACATGCGAGGCTGCAGCGAGTCTCTGTGTGACTGACAAGTGGATGATTCACTGGGGTGGTTGAATGTGCAGAGAAAGACGCACGCTCGCCATTGTTGTCGCCGGCCGCTCAAAAGGTATGCGCTGAGCTGCTCGCTAGCTGGTGCTGCACCTCTCATCTGTAGGTGCCGCCTGCTGTAATGGACTCTATTCAGATGGCCCGTGAGATAAGGACACACTATACAGTCATGATGAGCTGCACAATGCGGGCTGCTGCAAACCAACACCGCTGTCTTCATTGTAATACCTACACAACGGACTGATGCACTTATCATGAAAGCTATAAAGAACTGCAGCTCTGCTTTTTTTTTTTTTTTTTTTTTAACATGAGGGTATAAAAAGAATCCAGAATAAATAAAAAAAAGTTGTTTCTCCCTTGTGAATATTACAAATCTGCCTTTTTTGTTTGAAAAAGCAAACATGTAGGTGCTTGAATGGAAATATTTGATATGTGTGTATATGCAGATGAAAAATAATGCAGGATCCAATTGTTGGAGATAAACACTGGATGATTTTTCCTGTTGGAGCTAACAGAGGACCTTAGACGGAGGTCAAAGTTCACCATCCAACATGAAAGCAACCTTAAACATACCGAGATCAAGTGGAAGGCATAATGTGTTACAATGGCCTAGTTTAAAGGAATAGTACACCCAAAACATGATTAGCCTTCATTTTCTACTCACCCCCATGCTGAACAACACTCTGGAGTACTTTTTTGATATCTCAAATGCATCTGGAGATCTGGGAGGCTTCTTGCTGTCTGCTGACATTCAAATAATGGAGGTCTATGGCGCCCGAGACAGAAAGGTCCATAAAAGTCCACAAAAAACGTGTCAATATTCCTCCATACTGCTCTTCCAATGTATTCCAAGTGTCCTGAGTGGGTAGCATGGTCTGCTGGCTTCCGTAGCGTCATGAACGCGCCGGCGCGCGCTTTCAGGAAATCCTATACACTACTGTTTATGCTCTAAAAACATTCTAAATGACTTCGTTTCGAGTAAATTCTGGATGCTACCCACTCAGAACACTTGGAATACATTGGACGAGCAGTATGGAGGAATATTGACACGTTTTTGTGGACTTTTATGGACCTTTCTGTCTCGGTCACCATAGACCTCCATTATTTGAATGTCAGCAGACAGCAAGAAGCCTCCCAGATCTCCAGATGCATTTGAGATATCAAAAAAGTACTCCAGAGTGTTGTTCAGCATGGGGGTGAGTAGAAAATGAAGGCTAATCATGTTTTGGGTGTACTATTCCTTTAAGTGAATGCAGCCAAAAATCTTTTGCTCCACTAGAGTCAAAGATATTTTTAAATAAGTTCAGTTTCCAGATCTGCAAATACAGATGTTTATAAAAAGGTTTCAAAGCATGATGGAGGCTCTTGTCCGTATTTCATTCTTGAGGCTTTGTTGAATCAGAGGATTGTTTTGATGGAAATCATTGGTTAGGTCCTTATGTGTCACATACACACACGTCACTGGTGGCCGTGACGCTCAGCTTTCTGCTATCTTTAAAAAAAAAAAATGAAAAAAGATGACCCTTCAGATCAAAGGAAAGTTGAGTCTCCACTCTGACCGGCCCCTCCCGTCTCTGACACGTCCTCTGTTGCTCCCTGCAGGTAAAGCTGATGAAATACATCTGTAAGCAGCTGCAGTGTAAAAATAAAGTCCCAGAGACGGAGAGGCCCGAAGCCTTGGACAGCTACCCACACTTACGAGACTGGCTGCGCACCGTCAACCTGAGAGCAGAGCTCATCCAGGTAGGCCACGCTGTTCTCTACAGACGGCGCTCTGTTCTGTGTTTGTGTCCAGTGTGTGTACTCGCTGCCCCGTTCACGTGTGCGTGAGGAATGCCTGACCAGCGTACTAGGATATAAAAGTGGAGCTTATTTTATGGTTGCGATCATGCTGTCTGCATTGCACGTACACTGAAAACACCTCATTTTATAATAAAGGTTTTTAAATTTCTATGAAAAACAGGGCAGGAGACTAACAATGCAAAATCAAACTGCTGATGTTCTTGCTTGGAAAATATCTTCCTAATTGGATGAAAATCAACTTTCCATCCAGCTGTCTTTTTCCGTTTAAATGCCACGTTTGTCTGACTAACAAATGCCTTTTCGACAGGTGCATAAGGAATGTCCCAAAAGTTAATATTTGCTGAAGCCTCTGGTCTTTATGGGAGCTTTCTGGGGCTGATCCTGGCTTTACTTCAGTGGACTTTTTTTTTATATTTGTTTCAAGTATTATAACTTATCAGATTGATTCCATTCTTCATATTTAAATCATTTTCTTTACTAAAGACATTAATCCTTTTTCCAGTTGAGATCAAACAGTCATAAAACTGCACTCATGAACTTGTCTAAACATGAACGCCTAAGATTGCTTTAGTGAGTCAAAGTCCTGTGAGGTGTTTTGTGCAGCTATGTAAGGAAATCAGCGTCACAACATTTCTCCTTATTGGACGTATGAACCAGTTCTCATGTTACGGATCATCACACGTCACTTTTCTTAGAGTATTGCTTGATTTCAGAGGTATTTTGTTTGACTTCTTTCCCCTGTCTGCTCTTTTACACTTTTATTTTTCACCCCATCTTGTCTTTGCTTTATTATTTATTTCTTTTGATGTGTTTTTCCTGTGTTTAACATGCTTTTTCATTTCTTAGTACGTGTCTTTACACTTGATTCACATCTGTCCTTTTACTTTTGCAGTCTTTGCTCCTCATTTTTAAGTGGACCTACCTTTAATATACAGGCCTTTACAGAGGCATTAAGGCCCTCTGAACCTTTTGACATTATGAACATGAATTTAATTGCATTTTATTGGGACTTCAGATAATAGACTAACGTATGTCTATTTGAGAAGTGGGATGAAAGGAGTAGAAGATTTGTACATTTTATAACAATGACTGTGACAGAGCAATCAGAATAGAAACATCTCAAAATCAAGAAACAAAATGTAAGGCAGCATTATTTTACAATATTCCATAAAGTTCAGTCCAACTTCTAAAAGAGTTTAGCAGCACTACAACCCTGTCTGTGCAAAGAAGACCTTAGTAACTCTGTAGGTGCAGCACGGATCCAAAATGGAGACAGTCTTTGGCCATGCACTCACCTAATTCCGGGTTTCCGCAGGTCATTCAAAATCACTAAGTTATTAAATTATTATTTTTTTAAATTAAGTCCTTAATTGGCATTAAAATTCATTAAATGTGTTTACTGTGGCAATTAAAATGTTTTATTAAAAAAAATTTTTATAAAACAATTTGTTCAGACATATTATATCACGATATATTTGCGTGGAACTGCTTCCGGTTGATCTCAAAGCTGTATGTTCAGAAAAGAAGTCAGAGAAAAAGCTAGAGAGTGGGGCAAATTTCAGCAAAAGTGGCTGGAAAACTCGGAATTCAGGACATGGCTGCAGCCTGTCGACTGGTACCTGTTGGTGGCATTAAAATAATTTCTAAGAGCATTAAAAGAGCTTTAAAAAGCATTAAATTTGAGTTATTCATTCCTGTATAAACCCTGTAATCGGTGTTAATGGAAAAAATTAGGTTGAGCTAAAGATTTTGAGCTTTGAAAAGATTTGTTGACAGACTGTCACTACCTGTAGTCCTGGTGAAGACCTTGTGTTTCACTGTGATATTTCTATTATCACAGTGAAAATAACATAATTAGCGGGCTGCACGGTGAGCAGTGCGTAGCACTGTGTAGCACTGTTGCCTTGCAGCAAGAATGCTCTGGGTTCGATTCCCGTCCCAGGGTCTTTCTGCATGGAGTTTGCATGTTCTCCCTGAGCATGTGTTGGTTCTCTCCGGGTACTCTGGCTTCCTCCCACAGTCCAAAAACATGACGACTGTTAAGTTAATTGGATCTCTAAATTCTCCTTAGGTGTGAGTGTGTGTGGATGGTTGTTTGTCCTGTTTGCTTCTGTGTTAGAGAAGATATTTGGGGGGGGGGGGGGGGCCAATTTATATTTCTATTATGTATGCATTGGGTGCAGAATATTTACATTTTTTTATATATATATATATACACATATATTCTTTAAAAACCAAGAGCTACAATCATGTTTTTCTTTCATTTTAGTGATGCCTACCTTGATTTGTCTGCCACCTAAAAGCCCCATAAAATGCAAAGGCTGGTTTTAGCATTACATCATGAAACCTTTGCAAGGCTCTCTCACTGCCTACTAGCATAAAAGAAAATTACTTCCCTTTGTCTACATGTGAGAACATTCTAATAAATGTTCTGCTGTCATGATGCGATGTCGACCCACTTAAAGCAACGCACATTATCAGACCAAGGTTTATACAGCGCGTCTCTTTGGCTCGTTCTATGAGGGATGCATTATGTAATGGGTGGTCCAAAAACCCTCTGATGGTTTTACCTTCTTATTTATGGAATCCATCGAGCCTGCTCCCACGCTTCAGCTTGCAGGATGTGAGTCCATGGCAGGCATGAGCAGCCTGGCTTCTTTAATGGTTCCTCTATGTATTGGACATTTAATAATCCAGCCAGGCCTCAAAAAACATAATTTAGAAATGTTTTTTGCTTTTTTTTGTACCTTTTTTGTTAATTAGACTTAAATGGAACTACATGACCATGTTTTCTTAGTATTGCCTCTCACAAAGCCTGCTGGGAAACTCTGTATCCGTGTAGCTCCGTTTCTAATTGAGTTGTGTATTTTCAGAGCCATAAGGACAGCAGGCACATGGCCATTTTTAAATCTCCCATCTCTCATCCTTGCTAGTGTTTTCGCACGTCCGCCTGTGTGCTCTTGATTTTGCTTACAGTGTACACACGAGAGTGGGAGGTTGCCCTAGTTTTGCGATCAGTATTTGCCCTCTCAGAGCAAGGGTTTAACCTGACTGATAAGCGTTTACGCACTTCCCATGTAGAGAAAAATAACATCCTAAATTCACTGGACAAGGTCCTACATCCTTGTGCAATCTATGGAGTGTTGTTTGTGTGGCTATTTTTGCACACATTAAAGAAAACATTTTCTTTGTCATCAGAGTCCACAAAAACGATGCAGAAAATGCAAATGACCTGAATATGACATTTATGTCCCTAGATGATCGATAGCTGGTGATCAGATGTTTGTTTTCTTTTCATAAACTGCATTAAGATTTCAGCGCATATCTGCCTGGAAAAACTTAAACAGTGTTCCTCAAAACAATTTAGGTTTAATAAAAATGAGGATGTGCTTTAAAGCATACTAGTAGATAATTGTGTAACCGAGGTTGGATTGAGATTTCTGCCAATCCCTTTGGTTGATCTTGTTCTGTTTCTTTAACCAGTATTTAGCCTGAGGAGTGTGGTTTTAGGTAATAAAACAGATTTCTACAGTATCACTGCAAAAAGGTTCTGTAAATTTCTTAAAATAAGTGTATTTACCCTTAAGTTGAGTAGGAAAATAAGATGATCTGCCAATGGAATTAACATTTCTACCCTTAAAATAAGATAATTAGTTATGATGCACTTGAAATAAGAGACTACAGTTGTTGTTTTTTTATTTTAAATATAAATTGCCTTATTCCATTAGCAAAGTCTCTCATTTACCTGCTTAATTCAAGAAAAAATGCACTTATTTTAAGAAACAAAAATTACTTATTTAGATTTTTTATTTTTTTTTTGCAGTGATCTTGCTGTAGCAATGTCTTAAATTAAGGGTATTTAGTAACAGGTTGGTACAGAACAGCAGCTGTAAAGGTTTGCATGTTTCCCTGCTTGAAGTCCAGTGATGGTTACAAGTTTTTCAAATTCCCCACATACCAATTAGTGTGAGCAAGACAGTCAATTTGAAATGATTCATTCTCACTTTCAGGCCTTCAGTAAAGTATTTGGGCTTTAATCTGATCCGTGTTCTTTGTTTCAGAGGGCCTGGATCTGTAGTTTGAATGTAGTCAGGAGGATTATATTATGCCGGCTCATTGTAAATAATGTGTTTTTCAGATTAAATGGGTTAAATTTTTGTAAGATTTTTGGTTGTGTGTATGTTAGAATTCTGTCATCCTTACTCTTTACCATTATGACTCTAAGCCATGTTTGTTTTCATCGCTTTCCTGCAGGCTGTGGAGGCGAAGTTGTCCCTGGACGCCTTACTGCAGATGACCGGAGCTCAAGTGAGAGATGCAATGAGAAGACTTGGGTCCAGTTCAGAAGAATGTGCACGACTTGGTGCTGCCCTCTCCTGTTTGAAGAGTGCCACTGAATCAGGTAGGTCTCACCTATATCAATACCCCACACCCTGATGAAATAAAAATCTGGCATATATTTTAATTAACATCATTTTTTTTTCTCTTACAGGAGGTGAAATGAAAGAGGACGGCGTTTCCTGGTTGTCTGAATCCACCAGGAGGGACAGCGGATCTCTACTAACCGCAGACCAGCTGCCCTACCTGGGAACTCCGCTTCGCCCACACAGTCCGTCGCCTCTAGCCCGCCCCTCCACCATCCAGTCCACCCCATCCACCCCCTCTGCGACCTTCCCTCATCCCCGCTCTGGTTCAGTTTCAGCAGCACCTTCACCGGATGGGCTGGGGTCATACGGCCACAGTGACAGCCCCCTTACAGATTTATTCCCCATGCCTCGGCCACGCACGACCCGGCTCCACGGACACACTTCCACCCCGCCCGTAACCCCGCCCACAAAAAGGCCCCACAAACTGAAGCCTCCTTGCACTCCTCCTCCTCCGTCTCGTAAGGTGCTGCATCTGCTCCCCAACATTACTTTGACACGCAGCAAAAGCCACGAGTCCCAGCTGGGCAATCGTATCGAGGATCCTCCCAACAACAAGTAGGTACCGTGCTGAGTTCACTGAGTTCACACGGTCATCCGTCAGGTCAAATAATGGCGAGCTTTTACTACTAGTATATCATCGCCAAGATCTTTCAAATGTTTGGTTTGAATCATAAAATTACCAAATCAACACCAGCTACGCCAAATAAAGTAGGAGATCTGAGCCTCGGCTGTTATCTTTGATGTTTAGCTACTGAGCAGGTTTTGCCTGGAAGGAAATGATCAAGCTATGTAAACTAAGCTTAGCTATGACGTCTTGAACTGAGTATTTGACTTAATGAAGAGATTAAATCTGTTAAATGTTTAGTTTAAATTAGAATAATACAGTGAATGATCATTAACATATTTTTTTATTTGGGGAAAAAATGACATGATTTTCTTAGAATTTCTTTATATTTGGGCTCAATGAGTGGAGTAGCCTTTGGTATAGTGTCCCCAGTGAGACCTGTTAGTTCATTGTCTCACCCCTAAATGATGAATTTGTCTGTTTTAGGACTCAGGCAAAGAGATTTCCTTTGATCCCTTCACGTTCCCTGTCCAGCATCCCTTCACATCCTGCCTGTTGCTCCTTTGCTCCTACTGTTTGAGGGGAGCTAATCCCAAACAAATTCCCAGAGATTATGAGTCATGTCAAAACAGGAAGCATTTCCTAATTCTTATTCTCAGGGGTGGCAACCCACTCAATCTCTGTTTTTTTTTTTTTTTTTTCCCACTCTGTCTTTGTTGTGATTTACTGTAGAAACACAAACAGGCCGCAAGATAATCCACAATATCCTGTTGCTTCATGGAATATTTTATTATGGGGAAAAACCAGTAATACAAGGAAGTGGTGCTCTTATAAAACCACTCTGCTTAACAGTAATTAAGATGCTACATGCAGGCTTTACTATCCTGGATCATGTGTTGCAGAAACTAAAACTAGATGGTATGCAGGTAGAAAATGTGTTCTCCCGGCTGTCTTTTTTCCTCCTCTCATGTGAGGACACGTGCACACAGATCACAGGTCTTGCACAGCTTGGTGCTTTTCTTGTGACCTCCATGTGGGTGTTAAGGATGTGACTATTGTCATTGTGCCAATGCTATTAAGGTGCTGCAGCGTGGCTCATTACAGTGCGTCGATAATCTTCCCCGTGATGCTGCAGACCTTCACTGGTCTTATTCCTACTAGTTGATGGCAGTAAATTAGACCTGCTGATTATTTTGATATGGTTTTACCTTTCAGGTGTTTAAAAAAGAACAAATTGTTGCTGAATATGCAAATGAACGGGAACGGATGTGAGGACTCGCCTTCTCGATACCCGGTCAAGTCTGCGCGGACCCCTGGAGGGACCCCGGTTCCCAACACTGCACCTTACACCCTGCCAGGGACGCCCACCTTGATTGAGGAGCACAGCATAATTAAGAGTGAGCCAAATGCTTTTCTGCTTGGTTTTTCTTACTAAAGGTCATCTTAATATCTACATTGGAAGCTTGTTTATTATTAAAGTTGGGAACATTTCTAAGACATGAGATATTTCAAATGAAAGCTATTTTTGTAGAAGTGTGTGAATAATCAGTTCATAATAAATAAAATCAGGTCCATTCAGGACGACTCCTCAGCCGTATTGTTAATCTTCTAGTCTTCCTTCCCTTTGCCTGCCTAAATAATGTAGCATTGCACCGCAGCTCCCCGAAAGCAGTGAGGAGGGACATCGGCCTATCAGTCACGCACAGGTAAACTGTTTGCTTTATGTTTTTTCACATATTTTCCAACCATCTTTGTGTCACTGAGGCGAGCTTACTGCGTTTCCGTTATAAAATAATAATGACAGTTCTCTAATTCAGCATAAACGACATGCATTTATATAACCTGCAGGTTTTCAACCAAGTCCTGGTTGTCTCAGACATGTCAAGTGTGCCAGAAGAACATGATGTTCGGAGTTAAATGCAAACACTGTCGGTAAGTGGAGTCCTCTGTTTAAAATGTCTCAATATGTGAAATGAAATCATTTCATTAAAAATGGTGGGAAGACAATATATTGTAGGTGGAGATTATGCTTTTAAAGTGACTACAATTTCTTTTAATAACACTTCATTCACTTCTGTTTAAAGATCCTATTTTTGTTAAGATTTTCTAAAGAATAAAAATAGTCCTTAATGATATCACTGACTCAGTTTCTACCAGACCTAGACAGACATATGCAGACCAGATTTTTAAGACCATGCTGTCTGTAACTGGATGGTATCACTATCAAAAGCCCCTGTCGCACCTTGACGATTTAGACCAGCGCATGCCTGATGTGCAAAAAATTTGGCAAAAACGCTGGCATTGTTGGATAAGTTATGGGTACGTTTTGTATAAGTTATGAGCATGCTGAAGTCTCCTGAAGCACGCAGAAACACGTCAACATACGGCGAGTACCGACGTATGCCAGTGTATGCTCATAGGTGGGCCATACGTCACAAGAAGTTATCTGGTCGTTGACATACATTAAGTGTAAGTTACTTATAAGTCAAGGAGTCCAGCTTATCCAAAACCTATGAATAACTTGTGCACAACTTACGCGCAACTTATTAAGAACTTATCTCCAACACTTATCAACATATCTGACATGTTCCAGACGACCGCTGAACATATTTCGAATGTACAGCTACTGTATAACAGTATCAAACATCGTATCGACAGCTTTTTGTATCGACCAACAAACTGCCTAGCAGACATGACGCTGAACCTGCTGAGACTGCAAACCCTCTTTCTTCCTTTTTCTTTTTCTTTTTATTTATTCTTTTTTTCTTTTTGGCGGGTGGTAAACCGCAGCTAGGTTATTACTGCGATCAAAGACAGCTTTTTATGCGGGCCGGGCGCCTCGGGGTGCATCACTGCCCCCAACAGGACACTAGCTTGTGCCTAATTTCATGGGCATTACCCTGCTGTGCGTTAGTCATAAGTCAGGCTGTCGTTGGAGATCAGTTCTGGACTCATTATGAATCCGCTGTGTATCTGCTCAAGATTGAGAAAATACTTAAAAAATACATTGTATGTCAGCATTTTAGTTGATTCTGGGACTTTGGGCATATGCTGGCTAAATCGGCAAGGTGTGACAGGGTCCTAAGGATGGACAGTGGGTTTAATATAATCAACTCTGTGGGGAATGATCCACTTATAAAGAGCTGTTGTGATATAAAATGTGTAAGGCTGTTCTATGTTGGTGCATCTGATAAAACTCTTGCATCACCTAACCTAACCCACCTAACTGGTATAGAGGATTAATTCTAAGGGACAACAGGCATGCACGATAAATATTGGACATCTCTTAATGGAAGCCAGCTGGTAAACTGACCAAGCTAGAGGAGGAGTTCAAAGTTTCATGACGAGACATCTGCTAAGGTGGAGTTTGCAAATTGTGACCAATCACTTTTATGCAGCTGATTGCATCCTTTAAGAAAAAAACAAACAAACATAGGATTTATATAAAAAGCAGCAAACATTTCAATGTAATTTTTATTTGGAAATTTCTACAAAGGAAAATGATCAGAATGCAAACAAATATACATTAACTTAAAACTTTACATTAGAAACTATCCTATCGATATAATGACTTATATAAAGAAACACAGCTGATTCTCTGTACACATGTATAGATGATAGGTTTATGCTTGTGAAAATATATTCCTGTCTTTTCCTCTTATTTTTGGCTTCCTAACCCCCCCCCCCCCCCCCCCCCCCCCCCATACAGCGCTCCTGGTCTGCTGTAAAGACCATTTCAGATTTCAGACTGATAGATCACACTGACCTTGGCATTTATCACTAAAGCATGAGCACATATGATGGTTTATTTATCCAGTGGGTTCAAATTAATTGAACAAAATATTTTTTAAGGTGGATATACAGCAGGATGGGTAGGACACCTGCTCTCACGTCTGGATGAGAAAACACTGAGTCATCGTTCTATTTATGCTACTCTATTGTTGCTTCTTCCAACAAAGCAAATTTACATACATGTAGCAAAAACACACATGAATCGTCTATAATCTAACATAAGATCCAAACCAAACTAGTTCTGAAACAGGTTGAACTTCTAGAGCAGGTTCTATGTTGATCTTGAAGGTACCTCAGTAAGCTATTAATCCTGTTTCATAGCAGAGAGCTCTGCTGGCTTGACTTAATCTTGATCTGGAATTGAGGAGCTCTGTTGATGCTAAATGCTAATTGCTAACAAGCTATCTCATGTGCTGTCTGCAGATTAAAGTGCCACAACAAATGCACAAAAGAGGCTCCATCCTGCAGAATCTCCTTTCTACCAAGTATGGTTTTAATGCATTTTCTGTTTTTATTTTATTTTATGAGTTTGTGACATCAGAGTTGTGTGAGAATAATTGTTTTTCTTTAGTTGCCAAAATCAGGAGGACCGAGTCAGTTCCTTCTGATATAAACAACCCTGTGGACCGGCCACAAGAAGCTCCACAGTTTGGTACTCTACCAAAGGCCATTACTAAAAAGGTAACGATACCTCAAACTGTTTCACATCTTCTTATATTTTAACCACAAACCTCAGATGTATTTACACATTATAGACTTTTTTTAATGCAAACATATTCATAGAGAAGTTTTAGAAATCATGTTTGCTTTAACCTAACATTTATGCACTACTTTGTCTCCAAGAACTCGCACAAAAATTCCCTATAAAACATTAATATTAGATAAAGCTCATAATATTTTTATGAAGCTGAATTGGCAAGGTTTACATTTATCAAAGCTACATGGTTTGATAAGAAAATCTACGCAACATGAATCCTTTACTGCTGCATATTAACATTGCAAGTGTCACTCAAGTGCTAGACTAAGAGGTGTAATTCTTGGTTGTTCTTGTTAAAAAAATGACCCATTTCTTTCCAAAAGTGAGAAAACATTTTTTTTTTCAGTCAGTTCCAGCATCTGCTCATTTCTCTTCTAAATCAAAGCAATATATGTCATTTTCTTTAACTTCTTACTTTAATAAAACAATCTTTCCAAAATCCTAAAAACTCAAAGTATGATAATTAAGGTATCAGTTTGTTAGGTTATCTTAAAAGCGGTGATAGGTTGATTCCTTAACTTGGTTTTATTAAACCTGTGACTCACCAGGATCATCCTCCTGTGATGAACCAGCTTGACTCCAGCAGCAACCCATCCTCCACCACTTCCTCCACACCGTCCTCCCCTGCCCCCTTCCAGCAGAGCAATCCCCCAAGTGCCACCCCACCTCCGAACCCTTCGCCCAAAGGACACAGGGACAGCCGTTTTAACTTTCCAGGTAAATCTGCTTTTCTAAATCAAATTTAAGATGATTTTCCCTTCTTGATTATTGTTACAGGCCTTATGCACCCTTTTCTCACGCCTTCTGTTTCCACCAGAGACATTAACACTGATCTGTGCTCTCATGACGATCTCTTAACCAAGAGCTTCACTAACCCTGAACCTCTCCTGCTATTCTGTTTTTTGTCCCCTCTGAATTTTTTGCAAAAGCTGCGTATTACTTTCAGCATAGGCAGCAGTTTATCTTCCCCGGTGAGTTGATTGTCCCAAAGTGACACATTCAGTCCTTGTTACGCCATCATGCTGCTCCATACCCCTCTCTTCCTCCTGCATGATTGCATAGAGACCTTAGCCTCCACTTCCCTCAGTGTGCATACTGGCTCTTAAAAGTGTTCTGACGCCATCTGCTGGTGATGTAGCAGAACTGCATGAGCAGACACGCTCTGCGTGTTTGGACCCTTATTGATCTGTTTAATTGGTGTTAATCCTTTTCTCCATAGATGTCTGCAGTCCTTCAAGCATATACTCTGATGTCCTCCAAGATACAGTGTAAGTTAGATAGTACTTAATTCATTTTAACAGGTCAAATAATGTTTTTTTTTCTTTAATTTTTATCTGTGATGTTCTGTTTATGCAGGAGTGAGGTAGAGCAGTCTGCAGATGACACACACACTGAGCTGGTAGAGGATGAAGATGAAGAGGTAATTTCACACAACGCTTTTAGATTTTTTGTCTCTTTCTGTCCTCTAACCGGGGTTTTCCTGCTTGAATCCAGGAGGGAGACGAGGACATTGAAGCTGAAGATGAAGATCCTGAAGAGGATGAAGAAAACGAAGAAGATGACGGGCATGAGCACGGAGGGGAATATGAGGAGGACAGGGAGGACATGAGGATGAACATTGGATCGGACGGCGAGTGCGACCAGCTGGATGATCTGCCATGTTCTCGTGGAAGCCAGTGGAAGGGCCCCATCTCCCGCAAGCCCAGTCAGACGAGCGTGTACCTGCAGGAGTGGGACATTCCCTTTGAGCAGCTGGACCTCGGAGAGCTAATCGGAAAGGTGTGGATTTACAAAAACACTTGGTCAAACTTACAGTTTGAGAAGGAGACGTTTCCCTGAGATTTGATTTCTGTCTAACAGGGTCGCTGGGGCAGAGTGCACAAGGGTCGGTGGCACGGCGAGGTGGCCATCAGACTACTGGAGATCGACGGAAACAACCAGGACCACCTGAAGCTTTTCAAGAAGGAGGTGATGAACTACAGACAGACCAGACATGAGAATGTGGTCCTGTTCATGGGGGCCTGCATGGCTCCACCACACTTAGCCATCATCACCAGGTAAAAGCACAACAAACAAACCCACCAAGTTCCTTCCATTGTACAACATTTTCCAGTCCGCTGATGTTTTCTCTCCTTCTCTAACAGTTTCTGTAAAGGAAGGACTCTGTATTCTGTTGTTCGGGACACTAAAAACAACTTGGATATCAATAAAACAAGGCAAATCGCTCAGGAGATTGTTAAGGTATGTAGTTATGAATCATATTCTCTCTGTTATTTTCTACTTAAACCTCTTGTTTGGCCTCAGTCTTCCATTATTTTAGATCTTTATTTTGGGCCAGGTCAGCTGTAATCCCTCAAACTCCAGATTTAAGGCCCCTTTTCAGAACAGCACAACTAAAATCAGTCGGTCCAGTCAGTGGGTCGGATTTCTCTGACCTCTATCACATCAGTTTTCTCTGCTTTCCTCCACCAAGGCCTCATGTTTCTCAACCGAAGTCCTCTCTGGAAAGAAATATAAAGATTCTCAGACAACCATCGGCCCTGTTTGACTTCCTCAAAGAATTATGACCTTAATTAGAAATACATTGTAATGATATTTAAACATAAATCCTTTAGATAACAACATTTTGTGATACAGTTAATTCAAGGCAGAAAAGCAGTTATTAGAGTCTAACAGACTGGTTATTACAGCTCTAAATATATTTTAACAATTTACTATATTTGTTTTGATTCTAATCAAACATAATAATATCCAATAAGCACCAAAATGTAGTTGTTTGGAATTCTTATTGAACAGAATAATGAAGCCTCCTGTTTTCCCTCCTCTCTGCTCATTAAAGTAGCTCATTTTAGTTGGAAGGCATTTCTTTGTTTTCCACTTGATTACAGTTTGTGTATTTCAATGTAGGAAATGTTTCTCTTTCATCATGGAATTAGTCCATTGCTTAATAACACTTCATCCACTCACCAACCTATGTGACCGCTGCCTGTTTGACATTACCTCCTGATCTGTCACTGCTTTTATCCAGGGAATGGGTTACCTTCACGCCAAAGGCATCGTTCACAAAGACCTGAAGTCCAAGAACGTTTTCCACGACACCAACAAAGTAGTGATCACGGATTTCGGCCTGTTTGGGATTTCTGGTGTCGTTCAGGAAGGGAGGTGAGAAGCGCTAAGCTCAGCTGAAGTTCTGTTTACACTGCTGTGCTATTACCAGGGGAGCTGCAGTGAGCTGTAAAACTTGCTGAGGCCTGCAGCGGCAGTCCAGCAGCAGCAGCCATCTCCTTGTGCTTGTCAGAGGGTGATATCTATAAGAAATGGGCTGCTTTGGTAGATTTATTGATTTATTTTTTCCTCAGGCGGGAGAATAAACTCAGACTTCCACACGGTTGGATCTGTTACCTCGCACCAGAGATTGTGCGTAAAATGAGCCCAGGTAACAATGAGGACCGACTTCCCTTTTCCACAGCAGCAGATGTTTACGCCTTTGGGTGAGTTGTATTTGAGTTCTGGAGACCTACATCCAGGTTCCACAGTGGATTTATTAAAATTAATAATCACATCTCTACGTTCTTCCTTTTTCTTTCTTTTTTTTAAGAACAATTTGGTATGAGCTCCAAGCCAGGGACTGGCCGATCACTAACCAGCACATTGAAGCCATCATCTGGCAGGTTGGGAGTGGAGAGGGCATAAAGAAGGTTTTAGGGGAGATCAGCCTAGGCAAGGAGGTCACTGTGAGTCGGCGTCATCATTTATAAAAAAAAAAACATCTTTAAATTTAACCTGATTAAGAAATGTAGATTAAATCTAAATGCGGTATTTTTTAGGAGATCCTCTCTGCCTGCTGGGCGTTTGACCCGAGACACAGACCCACCTTCACTCAGCTGGCTGACATGTTGGAGAAGCTGCCCAAACTCAACCGCAGGCTGTCCCACCCGGGACACTTCTGGAAGTCTGCCGAGTAGGTATCCCACAGCTGGAGCCGAGTCCAAGACACTGGATGTAGAAATACTGTAAAAAATTTTATTTTATTCTTCATGTATTCCCTGGGGTTCCCGGTGGTACAGTGACCTAGTCAGTCATGATTTCTGTCTCTACACTGTAGAAACGATACAGAACTGGAGCCAAGCTTCAGTCAGACCTGTAGGGCTGGATAGTCTTTTATGTAAACCAAACATTTATTCATTATCTGCTTGGTTGAAATAGTCAATCAGATTTTCTCTGCTTGTGTTTTTAATATGAAATGTGAATGTTTTTTTTTTTTATTTTATGAACACCTGTGTGTTTGTGTTTATAGTTTTATATTATATATCTTTAAGCTATTATTAAGCATAAATATTTCAAAACTTTGCAAGTGGAGCCGCTATTTAAAAAAATAAACTACTTTGATATAAAGCAGCTGCAGCCTTTGAAAGACACGGCGGTTCCAAATGTTTAGAGACACTGACTCCAACCTGGACCATCAGATCCGACTTAAACTCCCCAGAAAGGAAAAAATACTAAATATAATGGCAAATAATAATCTCGAAAAGTACATTTAAATAATATCTAAAGGAAGCAGAGTAGGAGTAAACAAATGTTAAACTTTAAACCTAAAAGGTTCAAAATTTTATCAAAACGATATAAAATACAGCCCCATGCAACCATATGAAGGAGTCTAGATATTAGATTAAATATATATTCAATATTATTCATGATAAAAAAGCCCTTTTTTATTTTAGTTTTTACACCTCAAATAAACAGTTATAAAATTAGTTCAGCCTATTAGGAGGAGCGGAAACGTCCTAAAAACTGTTTTAGAAGATGAAATGATTAGAGTTCAACATTTCAAAATGTCTTTAGCATCTGTGTTTTTAAAAAAGCAGCTTCTTCAGATCAGATGGCAGATCAGTCACATGGATAAAAACAATATAACCAGAGGAAGTCAGTAAAGGACACTTTAAATTGACGCAGTTGTGGTTGGAGGCTAGGAGTAGTGAAGACAGGAGGGTATTTTCAGGTATCTGAACTGTGGGAGGGCTTCCTGTGGCAGAGATGCTCATCATAGCCAGCTACCAAATGGCAAAGAACTGAAATGATCAGCATCAGGAGAAAGATTGTGTCTTTAGTTACAGACTCCATAAATGGTTCCCTTTAGAGAGCTGCTTACAGCTGTTCTGCTTCCTATTTCATCTCACCAAAACTTGAAATGACAAACTTTGAGTCTTCATCCCCTGAAAACAACTTCCACACCAAAGAGGGCGGTTAGTTTGCTCAAATTGTCTAAATCCATATATCGACCGATTGTTGTTGTTTTTTTATATACTAAAATATTTGGTTAAGTAATGAGGCACTGGAACGTTAAGTGAAAACCTTTAAAATGTCAAATATCAATAATTTCCTCTAGTTTTTGTAGGAATAAAAAATATACATATATCTAATGCAAAATACTGAGTAATTTATTTAGGAAATGCTAGAAAATCAACAATCAGATTGGCCAATTTTCCTTTTAATCTCCATTTCATTTTTCAAGCCTCGCCCTTCTTCACAAGTAAACTTAACTGAGAAAACGGCTTTCTGTCATGGAGCAGCTTTCCTCTCTGTTCCTTCTAATGAAGGTCTTGGTTCTGATAACTAAAGCAGTCAAACTATTTTCCTCTACATGTAGAGAATTTGGTTCCAGCTTCAACGCAGCTTAGTCTGGTTTTAATGCTCCTAATAGACGAAACAAAACTTCTCCCTTTGCTTTTCATCTTTAAATTGCTTTTCAACACTTTGCTTTTGCTCCAAGCGCTCTAGAGCTTCACTATGAAGCCATCCGTGTTTAAAGGACAGCGCACACATACTGAATTATAATTTTTCTCAAAGGAGTTAAAGCTCAACAACAGGAAATCCCTTAAATAATCAAGTCCTCCAGCTGGTTAATGTGCTGAATCCTCTCTGACTAATCAAAGTGCTTTTATCCAGCCTCATCCCTGTTACTTTTACTAACCGTCTAACATTTCCTTTGCCCTTTTTCCTCTCTCCTTTTTTTTTCTCTCTTGTCTAATCTAGGTTGTAGCAGTCACTCTGAAACATAAGCAATGCAAAACAAAGCCTGGGTCTGCCTTGCATGCTCCTGAATCCTTTACTGTTACGGGATTGATCAAAGCATTGCCTCTGCCTGAAACGGGCGCTCCATCCACTAATCCCCAGTCCAATCTTCCGTGTCTAACCGTCGGTGTTTTTTTCTTGTTCGGAGGAGAAGATGGAGGGACTGAAATATGAAAGACAGGGGCGGGGTGGGGCAGCCGGCATCATCCTCTTTGCTTTCCCTTTTGACGCGTCTTTAGACTCTCTTTGCCTTCGTTTTGGTTGGATTCCCAAACATCAGTTGGGCTTGTGAATAACCGGCCTGGTGGTGTCTGTGCCGAGCCCGACTGACTTGAGTGCGCTGTGGTCTGTGCCTGCTGATGGCTGCTCACCTCTCTCTGCTGCTATCATGTTTTTTTTTCTATTGCTGGTGTGCTGACCACATGGCACTATTTTATTTTTTTTCCTCCCTAAACAAAAACACACACAAAGCAAAAGACGCTGCTGGACATAAAACGGACCCAATCACCTAACGGACGACTTCATTTATCTCCGTTTTCCTACCCCCCCCCCCCCCCCCCCCCCCCTCCTCCCGAGGGCTCTACAAATGTCGGACAGGCTGCTTGAGTGATGCTCTCAAACCAGCTGCCTTCTGCCTCTTCTCGCTTTTCTTTACGGCTTCGTGTGACGGCATGTGTTCACTAACCCATGCTCAGACAATATGCACTTTTATCAAAGAGGGAAAAAAAACCTAAAACACAATGAGCCTTTTTTTCTTTCTTGGGTTCAAATTTAGTTTTTCTTGCATGGTGATTTTTTTATTTTTATTTTGCTGTGTTTTTATAGTTTCTCTTCAGGCGAATCTCAAAGACGGATCAGTTTGATGTGCTCACTTGTATGCTGTCTTTTTTTTATTGTACAATCCGTTTATGGGACTCATGAAAACAAACAGGTGGTGTGTGTGTGTGTGTGTGTGTGTGTTACACCGTAAAAGCAAACGGGTCAAAACTGCGCAGGAATATAATGTAATATCTGTTCTACTGAAGCATCGATCAGGAACCTGCTGCAAGTTTGTCCCAAATCCTCCCGTAAACGTGAGCTCCTCAGTGCGTCGGTGAACATTGTGACTCCTGGCTTCAGTCGGGATCTTGGTATTTGTGTGTTTGTGTTTTCTTAGTTTCTTATCCTGTGGGTGCACGTGAAACTGGGTGAGCGTTCAGTGTTGGACCGTGTTTGTTCTTCGGGTTTTCTGTGAAAGACTGCAGTACGTGTTCCAAATCCAGTCCTATGTAATGTACATAAATTAATATAAAGCAAATTAAATCAATTCTTCTAAAGATTTGTATAAAACATTTTATATGTAAAATACTTTAACATTTTTGAGTAGGTAGTCCTCCGGCTATCGCAGATAAGTGTATATATATACATATATATATATTTATATTTTTACATGTATAAAAACACTGTAAAAATGTTGTACATGTTTTTTTTTTAAAGGATGGGCCAATTCATGTTTTTTATGTTATTGTAAAGATCCATATTTTTGTATTGCATGTGACTACCATTCTGTACACATAGTTTCTGTTTTCATCCATGGAAGACAATAAAATGGGCTTGTCATGTAATAAATTCAGGGGTTTTTTTGTTTGTTTGTTTTAAGCTATTAAACGATCTCAAACATGTTTTTAAATGGAAAATGCAAGTAAATAATAGACTAAAGTTAATGACTAGACAATTCATCATCATTATACAGTAAAAAGAAATGAATAAATGAGCATATTAGCCAAATGAATCTAAATGTTAAAGGGTGTTAAGTTTTAAATCATATCTTGCTTCCCAGTTATGTTTTAGCTCATAGTGCTTACATTTGTTTGCACATCTAAAACTCACAAATATAATTATTCAAAAAAGAAAATACTGATCTATGAGGCCTGAACAAATCTATTTCAAAAAAAGCTTGGTGCAGTCGCTTGATGATGTAATATATCAGCACTCTAGTTTGATACAAAATCGGTAGTTTGGCTCAAACATTGGAAGAAGTCATGGCAACAGTTTATCACTGGTAAACTTGAACGAATCAGTTTCAGTTGGAAATCAACAGCCAAATATCAATATAACAAATTCCTGTTTAAAAATTATTATTTTTTGTTTTCTTAACTGGAAGTTGCCAAACCAACATTTATTTTCTAAACAGATTACACTCCAAAAAGTTGTTTTGTGCTTAAATAGGGTGTGTTTTAAATGTGCCCACCTGTTAGAGCAATGGAAATGTTTAATGAAGTGGATTTATTTTTTTAGCCCTTTAAACTATATTTCCAGACCAGAATATTTTCAGGTAGTTCCCCGCTTAATTTGGAAAAGGAAAATTTGTTAAATGAAAGTGTTAGTAGTGTTTTAGCTGGCTGGAAAATTGATTGAATGCAAGTGAAATTGCTTTTCTTTACAAGTAAAGCTGCTAAAAACATATTAAATAGGAAATGCTGCAAAATAGGAGACATATCTAAAAGGGTTGTGCAGAGATTGCAGTTTAAAGATATCCTTTCTGCTATTTTTTTTTTTTTTTTTTTTTTTTTTTTAGGGTTTAGCAATCAAGGGTGAAAAAAAAATCCCAGACACTGTTGACATTTTATTAGGGTGACGGTAATCCTGCAGAAAGCAAAAAAACTCTCCATTTCCTCTTATGAGAGTTTATCAGACAGAAGGAAAGGAAACTTCTTCTGTCAAACTGCAAACGGTTAACTTTTAAATTAAGGTAGATGTATTTGCTGTAAATGTGTATGCAGGGGCATGGATCTATCTTCTTCCTCTAGGGGGCACTAAACCCCTACATAGCCTGCTATTAGTAGATATACTTGTTTCTGCAAACAAGTTGCACTTCTGACTGAAGTCAGATTAGCAACATTGTTATGGAGAGTAGAGGTTTGCATTTATATCTCATGAGTAATAGCAGCATGTCGAGACGCATGACATTTCCCCTACACTTCATCGCTTTCTGGTTTTTTCTTAAGCATTTCCTGTCTCATGTGCAACAATCTATTACAAAAGTGATGTTAACCATACCTTAAATTAGATCCTGAGCACCTGTCATGTTGTATGGTTTTATCAGGCCGATGACAGTTCTATGAAAGTATTTTATTCGCATCTCTTTTGCTTTTTGCTATGCTTGAATGTTTCCGATCATCGAACACATTTGAGAGTAAATATAACCTGTGTATGAATGCTATGGTTAGATGGGTTTCATATCTTCATAGCCTTTATAGACATAAGAGCTAATTTATACATATTATATTGTCATTAAAATTGAACGGTGTTTGTATGTGACACATTTCTATTTTTTACTTGATTGTATGAAATAAAGGTAAAGTGAATAAATTTGCTTAGCATACTTGTTATACAGAAAATTCGAGTTTTAAAGTATCAACTTCTGTTAAGATGATGATATAGCCTCCCATTGGATATAAGCTCTGACTTTAACAAGCTTTATTTTATTTTCTATTATTCTGAGTCATTCAGAGGTGAGTTTGCTTTAGATTTCTCACCTCCAATCAAATAAGTAGTAGGGATAATTAATTATCAATAATTAGCAAGGATTTGACTGCATGCTGAGGAGGTGTGAAGTAGAGGAAGCCTTCTGTAGATCATTGCATGAACCAGGTATAGCTTGCCTTCAAATTTTTATTTAGGAAAACAGAAATTATGGTTTCATTAAATTAATAAAGTCATTTTTATATTCCTGAAACAATAAAGCAGCACTAGACTGCAGGATGTACAGGATCACACTTTTCTCTCCTTTTGATCCTAAAAATTTATTCTTAAAAGTCATGGGGATCATTAAGATGTTTTTTCTGGCAAAAGTGGTGATCTTTTGATTCCTTTGTGAGCAAATTTGTTTTCCTTTTTACATTTTTCTTAAATTTTAAACAGAAGCACTGTTTAACTGAGGTTTCTTTCATTTTCTCCTGGATGAGTCATTCATTAACTTTGTCATAAATGTTATATAGTCTACTTCGTGCTGTCAGAAAGGCTCTTTTTAGATGCATTTTTGTAATAGATATATTACGTAAAATAGTGAAAAAGTGAAAGGTGAAGTTAAAATTTTGCAAAAGAAAATTAAACAGGAGGAAATAATTTTTTTTTTCTTCCCTTTATGAAGGAGAATATCATTTCACAGCTATATTTTGTGTTTACTGAGGTTTCCTTTATGTGATATAAAAAAAAATTTGGGTTTATTCAAAAAAAGAAAAAAAAAATGCGGATGTTTCATGTTTAACACAAAAAACAAAAAGGATGCAAAAGTTAGAGAGGATTTACTGGTAAGCTAATTCCAGTGGCTCTTTTCCTGGTAGCCGCTTGCTGTGTTTCCTCAATTTCCAACCCTTTCTTTTGCTTGGCAAGCTTTTTTTGTGATAAATACCTTTCAGCTTTCTGATGCCAGACCTTGGGGAGCCGTCACTAAAATGAGAAATACTCCATGCTTGCATTCAGTCCCTGGAACCCTAGACTGCATCCGAAGCACGGATCAAGAGTGATGCATTGATTTCTGTGCACCGGTTTTAAGGCGATAAAGGGAGCACTTTGTGCCCTCTGCTTTGACTAAAAGACCTTTTGACACCAACTGGTACTGGGTCACATGATCAGCATTGGATCATGAAGGGATTCCTTCTGCATGCCCATCACATTCAGACAGTGAATCACTGCATAGTTGTTCCAGCTAACTTTAGGTGTTAAAGATCAAAGTAAAGTTTAGATCTTTGGGCACAATTCAGCTTTTACATGTGCACGACTGAAAGAGCGCAACAGAAGGTGGGGGCTGCAGTCTGGAGGCCATTTTGACATTTGCTGAGCCCACCGTTGCAACTGTCAGCCATCAGCTGATGTCCTTGGGATTGTCTGTAATGAAGCTGTCCACCATCACAGCCAGACAGCTATTTATAGACGTGAAAGGCAGCAGCACCGTATTAAATGAAACAAAAACTAAAAAAAAAGGCTGACATGCATGCACACCTGGCACAAACACCCAGCGTAAATGTATATTGATGAGGGGGTTGTTATAAATAATGGGACTTTCCATTTCTCGGCGGATGATGTGTGGCTTTTTTGAAATGAAGTCATCTGTAGTTCTTCTGTTCTCGCTTCCCCCTTTGATTTTTATTTAGCTCTTACGGTACCACACTGTTTCATCTGAATAAATCATCAAGGAGAAGAGATCAGACAGCTCCAATCTACCTTTCTTTTATTTTATTTTTCTTTTTAAGATGAAAATGAACAGGAAATTATCCCAAACACCATTCCATCCTTTCAATTTGCTCCATGTTTTGATTTTGTTTTTTAATACTCATGTGCAGATGTTGAACAAAAATTCATTTTCATTTCCTATTATATTAAAGAGACACCTCAGCAGAATTATTTTTACAACAAATCTGTGACTTATCTCTTTTATCTGCCTTAATTTGGCCAAACAGTAGTGATGATGAGTTTGTTCGAGGCTGAACAGCAGGCGTTCACACGCTCCACACTCCTGGATCTTTATTTCCATCCCTGCACGACAGATGCTCATGGGTCATGTGGAGGAAGAGGAGGGGGGGTTTGGGAGTGCTGTGTTTGCAGCCTCTTCATCATGTCATTTCTGCCAATGTTATCTGCAGCCTCCTATTTTGTCAAATTAACCGTTTTCTCTATTATTCTCTACTTCAGCAAAACAGGTGCAAATAGTCACTTGGGAAACGCTGCTTATATTAATAGAGGAAGCAAGATGAGGAACTTAAGAAAATAGAAACGCTTTTTTTCCTAATGCAAATTGATAATAAAAAAAAAAAGAAAGAGAGAAGAAGAATGGAAGCTTCTAATGAGTTTCCAGTGCTTCAGAAATGATCTAATATCCCTTTATGGTTTTCACATATCAACCCTGCTAGAAATGCATCCTGCAGCATGATACTAACACCACCATGTTTCCAAAGTTCTCTATCAAAGCTCTTAGGCCTTTTCTAAAACATCTGCACTCAAACTCAGAATTTATAACACTTTATATGGAGACAACTGGTTTCCCTGGATGTGTCTACATTCAGCTGTAAAAATTAGACAAACTATGCATCATGCATCACAAAAATTCACTACTTCCAATAAAACACGTGAAATGTTAAGGTTCCAACCAGGAGATGTGGGCGCAGTCCTCCCTTTATCCTAAATAAGAAGGTAAACCTTTGAACGTAACAGAAGAAGGGCGATTTATTTTTACTGTTTACAAAGTGTGGCCAAGTCATTCTTGATGCACATGCTGAGGTGGTCTCATCAAGTCAGCTTCATCGACCTGCAGAGACATTTGCAAACTGTTCTTCAAAGCATATGAAAAAAAGAAGCTAAATATTGCAACGTATGTTTGATAGCTGAGGCAATAAATTAAAGAGAAGCTCGATCAACAAATTTAGATGAATGTGGTTGTTAGTGTAAGACCAGCATTTGAGTCGCATTCATCATTTAAAGGTTTGCATGTTCTCTCATCACCACTACACTGAATAGAACGGAACAATAATCACCACTTCCTCTTCTTAATATGGTGTGAGGGGGAAGAGGTGAGGGCAAGACAGCGAGATGAGCGTGCAGTTGATTTGGTCTGATTTCATTGCCTCTCTGTTCCTGTAAAAGACTGGACTCATCAGTTGCTCCAAAGCATCACAGAAAGCTTCTGCTCCCCTCAGTGAAACCGAGAATGTAAGTGAAAGGATTTTCTTTAACTTTTTTTAAAGTGTGAAATTAGGGAAAAAAAATTTATACAGAAAACCCCAATATCAATGAATTTATGCATAAATATTTAAACCCTTCTAGGATTCAGTAGAAATAATTAGAGATAAGATGCTTTGAGGACGCCAAAAAGGAATTTTAAAAATTGGTTGACTTTTTTTTTTTTTGCTTTGTAATTTTTCCTAAAGATTGATAAACATAAACCTCACATGAGAAATTAATTTTTTCAGTTGTTCTGAAAAATGTTGCGCAAAAGCGCAGGACAATTGTACAAAATAAAAACCAAGCGCTACTTTAACACCTACAGAGTTGATATAATTCTGTTGCAGATAATATTTGGTGCCACTCCAAATTAGTGTTAAATTTACTCTATAGCTAGTTTCAGTTTTTCAGAGTTAATTTTAATTATATTGGTGTCAACATGAAGAAGACGTCTGAGAAACTGGTGTGTAATCGACACCATATAGAGAGTTACACTGCGTGGCAGTCAAATTTTACACTGATTATCAACTCCAATTCAGATGTACACTCAGTATTGTTGTAAATACACCAAATTGGTTAAACTTTTACTTTGTATGTCTTCTTTAAGCTTTGTGAAACATGAAAAATACTCTCAATATTTTAAGCACACATGTATTTTGGTGTCAATAACCCTGTAGGGAAGTAGAAATAGATGGATGCTCATCCATTTACACTCATATCCACTCACTGAATTATCAACTCAACTAAAAGAGTAAAAGTATTATTTCAACAAATATGCTGAAAATTCATCCACTTTTAGTGATTTTCATCATTGTTTGTGAGCTCAAGACTGAGATCTGATTCATTATTGTGGTGATCCATGGTTGCTAAACCATGTTGTGGTTTTTATTTAAAGGTCAGTCTGCAGATGTAGAGAAATGAACCTGCCCTCTGTGCCAGCTCACTTTTGGTTTTTAAAAGCTTTTTTTTGATCCCAGTCTGTCAGCAAGGCTAAATTAAAGCCATTAAACTGACATTATCCTTTCATCCTGTGTCTCTTTGCTTTTGATTTTTCCTCCCACTGCCTATGCAGTCTGCCAGCTCTGCGCTCTCTCACTCATCTCGCCATCATAGAGTAGCTAATCTTTCTAAGGGTCTTGTTCTTCATCAGTCTCTAAAATGTGAGGCACAAACAGCTTTTTTTTCTGTCAGAAATGAGGCCACATGGCTCAGTAAGTACAGGCACAGGTGCATCCTTTACCCAGGCTATAAGTCCGCCCTTCAGGACCCTGAGGTCCGAATGTATTGCATGTACCTTTTCTCCTTTCACCTTCTTTCTTGGCTAGCTAAATCCTAATATACCTAAAAAAAAAGTCTTAGAAAAAGACAGAAATAATATAAGAAAAAAATATTTTGCAGAATATTAAAAGTGCTTGAAACTATTTAAATATTTTAAATCACATCTCAGTCAAAAAAAAATAAAAAATAAAATTTTTATATTAAAATACCTCCATCCAGTTCTGGGTCATGAGTTTAACCCAGTAAGTATGGTTAAAGTTAGCTAAAGAATCATTACGTATATTGACTTGATAACCAATTCTTTGATCAACATTTGAAATTAGCTGATTAACTTCTCAGGACGGAATGCTTTCGAGGGTAAAATGATTTATTGTCTAGAATAAACTAAAGTTATAGATGCAAAGACAGATATCGTCATTATGAAACATTATAAACGTACCATCCTCCATATGTCCATCTATATCTGCACCTTCATGCCACAGTTTTTAACCCTTCATTTTAAACCAGCTGCATAAATCTCACATTTAGATTATAGAAGCAGCCATTTTTCCGCCTTTAATAGGGCAAATGCTGAGAAGGAGGCAAACTGGTGAAATCCTTTCAGTTATATTTTAATTCAATGTAAAGTTTGTTTTTAATCACAATTATCAGACTTGAAAAATTTGAAAAAATTAGTTTATTTATGAGATTTTCAGCTGGCAAACCTTACAGGCAAGCGCCAGGATTAAGTTGTTCCAGCTGGTAAAAGTTGTTAATACTTGATTTTGTGTGGGGCATCCCTCTTTAATATTACAACAGGGTTAGATATTGTTTTATAATCCGAGTTCACAAAAAAATGCTTTATCAATTAATGTTTTTTTCTATCCTATTCTTCTACAGATAGAGGTGAGTATTGGCATTAGTGTTGCGATTCGATACATGTCGCGATACTTGGGTCACGATACGATATTATCACGATATTGCAGTATCACTATATATTGCCATATTTTCCCCAGCTATCAAAATCAAATGATGAGATAAAACATCAAGTGTTGTATATTTTCATCAGAAAATATTGATTAGGTATTATTATCCATATTGTTTGGGGTTTTCTTCCACTGTGACTGCCTCAAATACAGATTTGGTGTTGCACGCACAGTTAAAGGGCTCCACAGCGCTTTCTGCCAGAGTGGTGGTGCAGAGGTAGCACATTTTCCCATCAATGTTTTATGTAACCTTTTTTTTTTTTGAAAATCGATACCAAGAAGTGAAAGATCGATATTATATTGGGCAGCCGAATATCACGATATATCGCCAAAACGATTATTTCCCACACCCCTATCTACAGATATAATGAAGTTATCTAGGTTGTGTTCAAACATTGTTCAACATCGTTATTTTTATGTCTTTTTCTCAGTTGTATAAGAAGTTTATTTCAATCTTGAATTTTCTGCCGTTTTCCTTTTTTAGAAACCAACATGAAGGACCTGCTTCGTGCTGCTGAGATTCTTGGCTTGTTGCTGTTTATTCCAACAATACTAGTTCAAATTTCTGAAGGATCTGGGACTGCACCAATAACCAAAACTTTAACCGATAATCCAAAAGATAATGGTACTACAGCTGTCCAAACTTTTTCTGGAGAAACAGTTTCTTCAGGGACAACCATCAGCACCTCATTGACGGCCACGGATGCCCAAACCCAGACCACCACCACCCCCGCCTCTTCTGCCACCCCCACCACTACTACCACCACCACCATTACTACCACCCCATCACCTTTTGCGTTCATGGATCCCCAGAACAAGAATTTTAAGTTTACGCTGATAGTCTTCGCTCCACTGATTTTAGTCCTCCTCATCCTCCTTCTTTCTACCCTGGCGCTTGCCTGTAAGGTTTGCCAGCTGAAAAGACGCCTGAAGACCCTGAGCTGCAACAGCAGCCTCGACAGCAACTCTAAGTGCTGCTTGAAAATGGAAAATGGAAACAAAGCCGAGTCGCAGCCAGACGCTAAGGAAAGCTGCTTCTTACTGACAGAGACTGGGGAAACAAATCAGGAGAATGACAACAAGGCCACTGAGGAAGATGGAGGGAAAGTTGGACAGGAAGAGAAAAAGGGAGAAGAGAAGGTGACTGGAGATCCGCAGGAGGAACAGAAAGCTGTGACACCTGCAGCCCCTGTGGAAAGTTCACCTTCAAAGCCTGAGGAGGAAGCCAGCAGCTCGGAGGGAACCACAGCGGCTCCACCAGCTTCCTCTTCCGAGGACACGGCCGGACCACAGAAGGAGCCATAGAATCTGCACTTTGAGTTTTAAATTTACCCATCTCCTCAATATAACTTTTGCTTGTCCTTTTTTTTTTAGCTACTTCTCGATTCCTTTAAATCTAATAGTGCATATATGTGATTTTTAACCCTGGACTAAACAAAAACAATCCATCTCTACCATGCTTGTATATTTGTGCCTTTTCGAAATTAAAATTTGAAAAACTTGTTCAGTTGGTCACTTTTTCCTTATTTAGAATCCAAACCAGACCAATAAATGCGTATCTTGGGTTTTGTATGGGCTCCTAAACAGGAAGATTACTCTTTATTCTCAGTTCCTATTGGGTTGCACAAGCTCTGTCTGTGTCCGTGTCACCTTGAAATGCTTCACAATTTGTCATGTGGTTTTTGGTTGTGCGCTTAAAAAAGTTTGGCTTAGCGGCCTACAATCAAACTGCCACTATGTTTCTGACAGGAACTAATAGGAAAGCTGTGCTGAAAGGCCCAGTCAAAGTCCAGATCTAAATCTAACTGTGTCAAAAACTGCTCTGCAATTTCTGAATCTAGAATTCTGACACTGATATGCTGAAATACCTGCAGCTGCATTAAAAATAAAGGATGCCTGTGAAAAGCATGGAAAGGAAAGAAAGAAAATTAAAGCCATTTGTGCTTTTCTCTCCCATATTGTAGTGTTTGGATTTAATGTGGAAAAGTTCCCTGGTTCTGAATGCTTCTGCAAGGCACTATAAGCCAGTAAAACGAAGGGAGCAGTGAAAAAGTGAATTGGAGATGAGTGTGATTAGCAAGCGCAGAATGAGCTCCTTTTAGGCTGTGCCACACAGCTCCTTTAGAAAGCAGCCAGAGCTGGCACAGCCCAACAAAAAGGCAGACTCTTTAAAAAAAAAAAACAAATACAGGCATTTTCTCAGCTGTCATGTGTAGAATTTTCTTTATCTCTCCTCTTGTGACAACGATAGATTTTTACCTTTTAATAAAAGCTTTAAATAAACAGCTTGGGGTAGAAACCACAAAGCTTTGTTCGGGCAGCTTCGTGCAAGTGAACCGATCGAATGCAGATGCAGCAAATAACAGGGAGCCCATGGAAAGTATAACTCAGCAGGAGTCTTATCCGAATCCTTTTTGACAACACGGCTCAAACTGACAATGGCATGCAGACTGATATGGAGAGTTTGACTTTGAGGATTGCAGGAAGGAGCAGTGACAGAATACATGAGTTTCAGTCTTGGTGAAGCAGCAACTAGAAGCATTTAGGCAGGCGGGGGGTTGGCTGGAAGCGCACAGAGAAGTGGCTGAGGAAGTAGTGAGCAGGCTGCAAATGGATGCTATATTTAGTGTATGACTTTGTTGAGCAGATGTATGAAAAAAACTAGATAAAGCTGAAGCCTCTCCTTGTCGTGCATGAATAAAAAAAGTGCTATAAAACAGGTAAAGTCATCCCAGCTTTAGTCTTCATTGTGCTTTGCACCAGTTTAGTTCATATACAGTACGTTTTACTTTGTTCTCTTTTTGACTCATTACTACCACAAACATGTGTATATTACTCATATTTTAAGTCTTCATTATTTAAGTTAAAGCTGAAATACTAGCTGATGAAGATGTGAGAGCTGGTTCCTCCAACAAAATCAACAGCAAGTTCAATCATGAAGTGGAATGAGAGTTTTTGAATATTTTCAACTTTTTTAATAAATAAAAATATGAAACATTGCTTGTACAAAATTATTCAGCACCCTTGATTGAATCAACATGTCAATCCTCATGTTGATTCAGTCTTTTACACAGTAAAGTAGCTGTTTGCTTTGGATGTTATCGTCCCAATGAATGGCTGTTATAAGCAGCTATCAGTCCCATAGAATGGTTTCAGATTGTGCCAGTAGGCTCATTAGGTTGTTATCATTGAGCGAATCCTAATCCCAACCATAAAATAATTAATTTTCCCCTGTGTAATCTGAAAATTATTTCAGTAGTTCTTCATGTAAAAATAACTAAATAAAAATGAAAGGATTCACATCTATATTAAACAAACCAAAAACACTTGTTTTGAGATTACTTAATCTCATGCCCTGTCAACTGAGTTGCAGATCCTCTCCCTATAAATATTTAATTCTCTATGAAAAAGTGCCGATTATTCTTTAATAAGATCCTTCTCAAACGGACATGCAAGATGTGTGTAACAAAACTACAACAAAAATTGGACTAAATCAGGAAATAAAACAGCGTGATTGGCTGAGGAGAAGAGAACCTGCTGCTGACCAGGTTAGCTCTGGGGAGAATGTTACTATGATGACTGAAACAGTCAGAGTTTCCGCGATGGGAATCGAAAACTGGTTGCTGTCCAGAACCGGTTCCGTGTGTTCTAATTCCATGGCACCGTTTGGCAACTCACTTAATGGTTCTCTTAACGGTTCCAGGCAGCACCAGAGCCTAGCGCTGGGCAGCAAGACTTGCGTCACGCTTTTTACGCAAGTTACGCACACGGCATTCAGTAAGCAAGTACGACGTGACCAGGCGTAAGTTGGTGACATCAAAGTTTGGCTTCATTTTAAAAAAGAGCAAGATGGCAGCGAGGCGCTTTAACGAATGCTGTGTCTTTTATGTTTCCGGACAGAAGCTAAAGTTACGACCAGAATGGAAGGCAACTAGTTTTATATCACTGGCTGTGCTTAATGTGGTTACTAGTAAATCAGATGACATTTCTGGAAATAAACCTGTTTCTGACCTCTCTTTGGGGTTATTAAACATGCTATGAAGTTGCACCGCAGTTCAGGGAGAGAGAGAAAGGTGACGCTCGTTGATTTAAATCAGGGTGAGAGGAGTTTATTTCCTGAAATTGTACAGTAATGCTTTTTCATAAAACAGATGCCTTCTCCATTAGATTTAGATGTCTGTGATGAGACGGGTAGCCTGGCTGGCTCAGAGGCTGGCAGCTCCCGTTTACTGCCTTCTGTTTTTTCACAGAGACAGGCAGAAATAGAAAGTCTCCAGCGAAGATAGACGAATGTCACCGTGCACTTACCAAGTTCATTGTTTCACAGAATCGATAAGAGAATTGATAAGGAATCGAATCGTTTCAAGGAATGGATAGGGTAATAGCAATTGTGAAAATCTGATCAATTCCCAACCCTAGTTTCCCAGTTTTTAGCTTTAGACAACTTCAAGTTTTTGGTAAACTTGCTTAAAACGGTCCCCTGATCAAACACAGATTGATTCTATTTGTCATCATCAGTCATTTAGGTCAACATTGGATCAATCAGAGATCCTCACTGAATTTCTGAAAGTAAAGGGGACGACTAATTTTACATACTCTGTCTTTCTGTCTTTTATTCCACCCAAAAATTTTTAATATACAATAAATTTCACTTCATGATTGTGTCCCACTTGTTAATTCACAAAAATTGCACTTTCATGTCTTTATGTTTGAAGCCGGAAATACGGCAAAAGGTCATAAAGTTCAAGGAGGCCAAATACTTTCGCAAGGGAATCCATGAAGAAAGGGTTAGAGATAATTGGCCAAAAAACACTGAGCCCTGTGGTCCTCCACAGGAATCCCTGGAGAATGAAGAAAATGTATCATTACTGAACTGGAATCTGTTGGCCATAAACCATTTAGCACTCACTCAAAAGTTATGTTGGGCTCCTTCCAAGAAGCTCAAAGTTGTTTTTTCCTGATAGATGCTCTGTGTAACTAGTTTGCATTTCTGCCATACTTCGCAACTTCTTTACATCTGTATCCTTGGTCTATCAAAAAGCCTCAGAGAGCAGCGTTAAACAGAAGAATCCATCGATATGTGTTTTTCTGATGACATTACGTTATATTATTTTTTTTTTTAAACCCTCCAATTTTTGCTGATTTGAACTAATATAAAACTCTTTAAAATGACCAAAGCCATCTTCCTTGACACTGTTTATCTGTTGCCACTCATCTTTCAATGATCAGACATATCTGGTGGCTATGCAACTAACTGTATGAGCTCTTTTTATTATCCTAAAGACTTCTAATTGGCTGCATCGTCTTCTTAGAGGAAATCAGTGACGAAGCTGCTACTGCCATTAGCTTTTAACTTTGCACTCTCATAGAGATGACTTCCTGATCAGAGCTTTGTGTCTCTGCTCTGTCCTCTCAAACACCAAGTTGGTTGTGTTAGAAGGCCTTTCACTCTGATTATAAATTGCATTTTTGTTTTCCGCTCCGCTGTTGCGACATGCATGCTCAATATGAGGGATTGCTGCAAAGTCAATGCAATGACACAATGTAAGCGACTGTCCGCTGCTCCAGGGGGAGTGAAAGCTGCAAATCAACCATTCAATACAATCCAATGGATTTCATTAAATCGAAACGTTTTAACAAACGTTTGTGTGACTTGGCTGACCCTGTAAAGTGCCTCGAGATGACATGTGATAAAAGTTCAAAGGGTATGAAAGCTTTGGGAGGGCACAGTACTGGGACCTCATGTAACCAGGAGGCAGAAGTGCAGCAATGCAGTGCAAGATGGAGATTTGGCTGTATTGCTGATGACAGGTGGGGTGCTGCAGAGGAGGAGAGTCCTCTGTAATAAATCTCACGGCTCTTTGTGGCAGCCTCTACATTTAAAGCCAATTACAGCCCTTCATCGACTTCCACTGGGGTTCTTTAGAGAGGCATGATTTATATTGAGCAGATAACTGATAACAGTCTTTATTTTAAGTACAAACATCCAGTTAAACTAAACTAAACATTAGCTGTTATTCGGAACACAGGAGTAGATCTTTAAAGCCGAGAGATTTAAAAGGGACTAAGGAGTTTCCCTAGTGGGATTCTTGTATGCAGAGAGCCCTTCCATTATTCGCTCCATTTCTCCTTCCCAATACTTCTCCCTGCTAACACGCCACCCCTCCCCTCGCACTTTCACTGCACACAGTAAATCCAGAGTCTGCAGTGCCTGATCGCGCCAACCCGAAAGATCCATAAGATGCAGTGGTAAACTCTCAGCTTCCATAGGGAGGAGAAAAGGGGACTGGACTGCATGAAAGTTAGGGCAAAACACCTGCATTGGACAAGGGAGCAAGGGTCAAATTCTAAGATAGATACAGAGGAAGAAAAAAAAATCACCTTCAGCAGAGCACCAGCTGGTCCCGAGCTTGAAAGCAGCAGAGAGGAGACAGAAGAGGTGCTGAGCAGCAAAAAGGAGCAGAGAAAAGTGACTGGAATGATAAGATGAGGAGGTGAGTTCTGAACACATTTAAAGACTCTTCTTGCACACATTTAACCACACCCTGGGCTTGCAGGGAAGAAGGGAAAAAAACACTGCAGTAGCTGTCGGCTGTGTCTTTGGAGCAGCTCATGGATGAGTCCTGGTGGAGCCGTTACTAAAATCCATGTACTGGGCTAGTTTTCCTCCTCTGAGAGCATGCGACTGACTCCACTGACGACCACTGATGGCTGAAAACAAACTGATAACAATGAAAATGACTGCAGGGGCTTATCCTCCCTTTTTTATGGATGATATTCTTCAGTGTAGTTAAAAAAATATTTTTACATTTCAGGTTTGTTGTTATTCTGTTGTATGAAAGGACATAATGTATACCTTATGACGTGTTTGCTGTATCAGCAGTAGTTTGCTGTGTTTCGCTCATTCAGCTCCTTATATAATCACATTCTCCTCTTCGTTTTTTCTTCCCTCAGCAGGCCTGCTCTGTCCAAGCTGATTCTTAATGAGGCCCTCCTGGAGCTCGTGCTCGTGCTCTTGCTCGGGCTTCGCGTCCTGGCCGTGTGCCCCTCCATGTGCTCCTGCAGCCGTAGCCACAGAGAGGTGGACTGTTTCCGGAAGAGCCTGAGAGAGCTCCCCGATGGTTTGCAACATAACATCCTCTCCCTCAACCTGTCCCACAACCGGCTTCTCCATCTGGATGGCAGGCTTACCTCATACACCCACCTCCGCGTCCTGGATTTATCCCACAACAGGCTGAGACGCCTGCCTGAAGCTCTGCCTCGGTCTCTCTGGGAGCTCCACGCCTCCTTCAACCACATCCAGCTGTTGGACAAGAACGACACGGTCTACCAGTGGAACCTGCGGATCCTCGACCTCTCCAACAACAAGCTAGAGAGAGTCATCTTCATTAATAACACCCTGACTAATCTATGCACGCTCAATCTCAGCCACAATCACTTCTGGACCTTGCCAACAAACCTGCCTGCACATCTGGAGACTGTAGATCTGTCCCACAACCTGCTTGTAAAGGTGCTGCCGGGTTCTCTCGACCGACTCCCAAGGTTATCTCACCTCTACCTGCATGCTAACCGCTTCTCCTCACTACCTTTTGGAGTTTTGGACAAGATGAATTCCCTTAGAGTCATAACTCTAGGAAACAATCCGTGGGCCTGCCACCTTTATGCTGATGTTGACTATTTACAGTCTTGGACTCAGAGCAGCTCTGTGCTTGTCCTGGGCTGCCCCTGCCACACTCAGCCTGTGTGTGGAGGGACGCACACCAGCAGGACTGGAGGTTGGAACTTGGACTCCTTCGTCCTTCCTCCTCTGGAAGCCGGTACCTTAGATCTGAGCTCCATATCAGCTGAAGAGAGCGTCACCCAGTGGTTCTGGTCTGTTCACGCTCTCCACAGCACGCCCCAAACCCGCAGAGAAGCTCTAAACACACCGCACCATGCCTTCACAGAAATGCCTATCGGCATTTCCACCTTAACAATTAATCACTTGGCTGGAACTGGCAGCCTGGAGACAATAGATCATCTCATCTCTGGCACAAAGGAAACTTCAGACTCACTCCACACAGCGGACTCATCCCATTTTTCTGACAAAAGTCTCATTACTGACACATCTAAAGGAAACGGCGTGGAGCCGGCCTCCGATCGATTTTTTATAACAGAGGCCTCCTCCACCCAAACAAAGAGGACAGCAACTCTCCGCACCAGGAGCGTGAGGAGACACAATCAGTCGCCTTCTGGTGGCATCAGAAACAGCAGCCCAGCTCTTGCTCCAGCCTGCTCCTTACTCTGGGTCTTTCACAACTTTAGGCTTCTGCCTCTCATTTGGCCTCATCTCTTTTGACATAGGGCATTAAGAGTTAAGGGAAAAGTGGAAATTAAATAAAAAATGAATAAAGCACAAGGGAGATTACAATGGAACCATTGTTACATCTATAAGAGCCATGTTTACATTGAAAAGATTTCTTAAAACCATATTTTTGACGACATATAGTTCAAATTGGTGCCATCAAAATGGATTTAAAGTAGATGGAACCAGGTAGTTTATCCCTCGCTTTTACTTCTACTCTTATTCTTTGTCATGTTATTACCGCAAGCTTTAATGTGTCTCACTAGGACTTCAGCATACTGCATACTGCTTAAAAGTGAAGTGAAAAAAGGATGCGGTTTTCATATTTTCCTTGCAAGGAAAATTTAAACTAGTTTTGCATGCTTATGATTCAGCCCTCTTAAGTCAAAGCCTCACAGGGCCTACTTTCTTATCAGCTGCAACTACAAGTGCTCTGCTGTGTGTCTCCACATGCATTGCAGATCTAGAAAGCTTTTTTTTTTAGCAGTAGTATTGCTCATCTGGATGAAATTGGATTGAAAGCTGAAAAAATGCATCCATACATACTGTAATTATGCTGGCACCATTGTGCGTTTATGTACAGTAAGGTACAGTGCAAAGCCTGTATGCTTTGTCCTTTATACGACCTTTGGCGACTTTCAGCCGTGCCTTTTGTTTCCTGTAATCTGTGTGGTGCAAAACTGATTTGTTTCAGCAGATTCTCCCACCTGAGCTATGGATCCATGCAGCTCCCCCACAATTATATTGAAATTCTTGACTCCCTCCCCTCATAAACACTCTCTGTTTAGGTAGTATACAGCCATATGTACATAAATCTACAGTTGAACTAAATCATGATATTTGAGATATTTTATAACCTAACTTGCACTTATTTCTAACTTTATTCCTTATCTGCCTTTAAGCTCTTTATTCAAATCCAGGTGTGAGGCATTATGTTTGCATTCACTGACCTGAAACTTCATCATTAACTATGACTTCAAAGCAACAAACTGGTCTCATGGCACTGCTATTAGTGGCTTTGAAATGTTTTTCTCCTGTGGATCTATCAGTTACATCTCATTCTAGTCTAATTTAAGGGTGAAAATTCCTTAAATTCTTTCAATGAACACCAAAAGAGTTTTTGAAATCTGCTTATCATCAGAATATATCTGAAGGTCAACGTGGGTGCTGTGGAATCTAAAACAGTTTGGAGGGTTTTTTTATTTTTAGGGGGAGGGATCTGAACTAACTTTAATGATTGAAGTGTCATTAAACCCAAGCAGAATATCACCAGAAAATTAATGCGAGCAGACTGAGAGTTTGCGGCCGGTCGGCATCAGCTTTTCAGCCTCATTAGCTCCGTTTTTGATGAATGCTTCTCAGCCTTTGCAATTTGACAAAGATAAAACCCAGATGACCCCCTCCCCAGCTACAATTTGTTGTTTTTCTTCCCAACAACCTTCTCTGGATCACTCTTTACCTTTACACTGTAAATAACCTCCCCATTTTTATGAAGAGTATGACGTTCTTTGACTTTTATTACATGTGGCTATAAAGATCGATTTAATACTGTATCTAAAAAAAATTCAAATGAATGTAATGAATAAAGCTAAGCACATGATGGCACTATACATTCAGCAAACAGTTTGCTGTGGATCTGAGTCCCTTGACTTTCCACCACAGCTGCACAAAGGGGCTGTTTGTTACTTGTGCTCCACATTGTATTTTAAGGCTCTTTTTCTTTCTCTCAAGTTACAGAATTCTTTTTGCATTGAAAGCTTTTCTGCTTGTTTTGTTGTTGTTTTTTCTTAACAGAAATCTATTTCTTTTTTATTTTTAAAGATTTATTAAATGCAATGTTTTTTTTTTAAAACAACAAAAAAACAGGGAAGTCCATAATTTATGTTTGCATGTATCCTCGGTCTTATTTCATCCTTCTGAGGAGGAGCAATCTTTTCCCCGGGCAGATGTATACATTTGTAATGACATGAGTGTAACAGGAAGCAACAGAGACTCTGTCGAGCAGAGGGCAAACAAATGGGTAATATATCTAATGAACAGCGAGTGCCGAGCTCCCCTTGCGTATTTTGATCACATCTCAGACTTAAGTGTCCTTCATGATTCACTGACGCTCGTGAAAATCATCTGCATGGCGACTGAACGTTCGAGGAATGCAAACTTCCTGGTGTTTTACTGCAGAGCATAAAGGCATAGAGAAATGCTAAGATATTCAAAAGCTCCTGATTGCATTAAACAGCTGTGATCCACCATGCTGCAGATTTTTTACAATTTAGCGTAGCATTTGCATAAAGAAGCATACGTTGCCAAAATAATAAGGCATGCATCACAACACAGCAGGCTGCATTTGATAAAAATAAGGACAATTGGTGCCAGGGAATTAAAAAGTTTGTTGTTTGAAACTTCTTTAAGATTCTACAATGTTGAATAAAGTTTATGCTTGAAGCAATCAACACTCTGATTATTGTTGGATTTTGTCCACAATTACTGACTAAATAGCAGCTTTTTCTTTTCACAACATGGCAAGACTTTTAAAATGCTGAGAAAAAATGTCTGAGAGTAGAGATCTAACCTGTCCCTACAGTTAAAATGGCAGGTTTAAAGCATATTGCACAAATAATGTAAATAATATCATGTAAAAATAGTATAAAAATCCATTTTATGAGGAAATAAATGTCTGTAGCCATTTTAATGGGTTAGAATGACACTCATCCACCCACAAACTCCCACTGGATAAAATATCCATCCATTTTCTGTCTCACTTATCCCAACCAGGGTCATATAAGGTGCTGGTGCCTATCTCCAGCTGTGTGAGACGCGGGGTACACCCTGGTGCACAGAGACAAACAACCATTCACGCACACACTCACACCTAAGGAGAATTTAGAGAAGCCAATTAACCTAACAGTCATGTTTTTGGACTGTGGGAGGAAGCCGGAGTACCCGGAGAGAACCCACACATGCTCAGGGAGAACATCTAAACTCCATGCAGAAAATAACCTGGACCAGGAATCGAACCCAGAACCTTCTTGGTGCAAGGCAGCAGCGCTAACCACTGCTCCACTGGACAAAAAAGATCCTTTATGAAACTGGAAAAATCAGATGTTCGCTAAGAGGAAAATATGTTTTCTAAAGTCTGGTTACCTTTTCAGGATTTGGTCATATCAATGAAACTAGGGGTAGCCCTGTAACTACAGAGTTTCTACCTCTAATCTTTGTATTTTCTTTCTCCCACACACAATACACTGCAAAAACGATCTTAAAATGAGTAACAATGTCTTAAATTAGGGTATTTACCCTTAATTTGAGCCGGTAAATAAGATGAGTTGCCAATAGAATGAGTATTTTTACTCTTAAAATAAGTTATCTAGATATTATGCACTTGAAATAAGAAAATGCAATTGTTTTTTCTTATTTTAAGTGTAAATTGTCTTGTTCCATTGGCAAAGTGTCCCACTTAAATACTTAATTCAAGAAAAAATACATTTATTTTAAGGAGGAAATTACTTATTTAGATTACATTTTTTTGCAGTGTAAGGTGTTTAGTTTGGTTTGGTAATTTTGAGAGGGGGTTATCATTTATTTAGTTTATTTTTCTTCAAAATGTCTTTTTATTACCAATGTTTCTAGAGCTTTTTGTTTTAAAGGCCATTTAATGTATATACTGTATGTCTGGGTTGTGTGACAATCCAATGGGGATAGAAGTCTTTTGGACACTTTTTCTCCATTGTTCCACTTTCTAATTATTAAAATGATAAATAAATCTTACATTTAAAAAAATATCTCCCATAGATATCCAACAGAAGCAAAATTTTTTCCATGAGTTTACACCTGCCAACAGTTATTGTCAACATTATGACCTGAAAACAAGGCTGCGTTTGTCTATCAACATTTTCTCCAGCTTTCATTGTTTGCATCCTTAAACTAAAGCCAAAGTTTACCGAACAATTTAAGCTTGAATCATTCTTGATGCGTCTGCACGGTCCATGCGTCCAAATTACTTTATTTTGGGCTTCCATGGTCACTCTGCATGGTCTCCTCCAAAAAAAAAAAAAAAAAAAAAAAAAAAAAAAAAAAAAAAAAAACGGGTTTAAAAGTCTAATTCTGTTTCACGACAGTCAGAAAAATGACTTCTTAAATATAATCTCGGAACACATTGGTTTATAGTTTATTTCTCAGCAGAATATTCAACAGTTAATTTCCTCTCAGCTCCATCAAATCATCTCCTTGGGACAACAAGCACAGCTTTTCTCAAGACATTTTTAATGGTGTGAAGGACATGTCATGGTGACATCTTCATCTTACACCACTCGGAAGGCAATAGTTGTGGGGGTTGTAGGTATAGATGCTGGCTTTCAGTATTTGCTGGGTTTTTCTCCCCTCCAGCCACTGAAAGGTCTCCTATGAGTAAGCACAGGTCCATATCAAGGTCGAACCTGTTGTAGATACCATTTTATTCCGTTTCCTTGAAACAAAACTTGGGTCTGATTTTGTTAAAAACTTTTAAAACCACATGTTTTGCTCTCACAGCCAGTCAGCCTATTAGATGTTGCTGATCAACCGCAGTCCTACACCCTGATTATGATTTGGGGGTGTTTGGTTTAGGGTTGGGAAGGCAGAGATTGTGGTTGCAGGGCTTAGAGGTGCATCTATTTTGTTGCATTTTTGTCCTATGGTAAGTTTCTTCAGCGGTGAACCTCTTTGGTGGAAGTGTGCCCCCATGGTAAGGGGGGATTTGTTGCATTAGCACTATGCCCTATTGGGGGGTGGCCCTGTTGGAGTACTAATGGGGTTATAGTAGAGGCTGTTTGTCTTGTGGCCGCTGTGGTTGGCTGGAGTGGCCACGGATAGGATTGGGGCTCATCAGGTGGTTGATTCAGGACAGGTTAGGTTTAGATAAGTGTTTATTAAGGTAATGGTCTGGGTAAGGCCATAGGGATTTTACCATAGGGTCTGTAACCTGTGGCTCCAGAGCTGCAAGTGACTCTTTGGACCTTTCACAACGGCTCTCAAAAATGTTGGCCTGAAATTATAAGATCCAGCAAATTTTATATAAAGTAGGTGATATAAAAGGTGCAGGTTATTAATAAACACATTTTTAAAGTTTTGATCTCATTATTTAATAAAAATGTGTTTTATAACATATTATCTTATAGAGGAAAACAAAATCAATCCCTTTTACAACAGTTTAGTTTTTCTTTATTTCTAAACCATGAAAGTCATAGCTATAAATTTTTCATTAACTAGAACATTTGCTGTGTAGAATAAAAGTAGGCCTATTAATTTCATTGACAAAAATAGAATAAAAATAGCTGTTTATTTTGTTTAAAGCTGTTTTAAATGTCATTGGTCAGAAAAAATACATATAAACATTTAATTCTGGTTAGGATATCGAAGACACCAGAGATGGAGGTCAGGTGTTGCCGATCCTAGCTGCTCTGTGATGGAGCTGGAAAATGGCTTCCATGTCTCAGATTCAAGCCAAAAAAATAATTATCATTATTATGAAATCAGGAAAATAAGCGTTTGAGCATTGGTTCCGCATTAAGGGAGCAAAGGGAATAAGAAGAAACCAAAGGTTTCCTTCTGGACAGGAGAGTTCAGCCTTTTCTAATGCTAACCTTTAGTTAATTTGTATCTATCACTTTTAAAATTAAAATAAAATGGTAGCTCCATAACAATGACCTTTCCCATAGTAGATATTTAGTAATAACTTGTCATTTTAAACAGTTGCGGCTCAAAACCAGCTTTATTTAGCTTGACTTAATGGAAAAATGGCTCTTTGGATTGTAAAGATTGCAGATCTCTGAAGGGGGTACAGAAGAAAGACATTTTAGGGATGAAAAAGAAAGCTTTAAAAAAAGTAATTGATAGACTTCATCAAATTTATGTCCGTCTTAAAGGGAGGTTACTGCCGTCCTGCAACTGGGGAGATTTTTTTACTTAATTCCAGAGGAAATAAGGCAGAGCTGCTCCTGGATGTCTTGGGAAAAAAATATTTTTTTAGTGTATGAAAGTTTTTTTGTTTTTGTTCAGGATTTGTTTTGTTATACTGTTGTCAGTTCTGTGAGCTTTAGCTTTAAAAGATTTTGAATATTGTTCTATGATGTGCTGTTCTGGGAGGGCAAGGGAAGGGTGGGGATTTGTTCTTTTATGTAAATTTTTGTATATCCTTCTGGAAAATGTAATAAAAAAAATAAAAAAAGATTTTGAATATTGACACACAGATGTAAGTTTATTGTATGAGTTGGCATGCCAATCCAGTCTATCACTGAGAAACAGAGTCAAATGCAAAAGTGTTGCATTGTGAGGTGTCCTTAATGACTAATATTTACAACAGATCATGACAACTACAATGTGGTTATTTTAATGTTGACAGTAATCATTTATAGTGAATCAAAAAAAGCAAGATTACTGAACTTGAAAGCATCAAAGGATTTAAATATCACTTGTATATAACACTTCAGAGTGGCTGTGATGAATCTGATAACTCTGATCAGATGCAGCGCCCAATCAGAAACTGATATCCAATAAGGATAACATTTGAAATTAATATCAAATATTTATCTGTAGTTTGACTGCTGTATTTTCAAAAGCCCCTTTATACAAAATGAAAGTCATTCAGCTGTGAGGATGGAGAAGAAGAGGAGAAAGCTTCAGGATAGAGAGGGGAAGACAATAGGTTGGTCTAGGCTAGCTGGAAATGTGGGAGCAGCAAATTCATATAAAGTTATTCACCATTGAAAAACATTTATTATAAAAATTCTATTTACTTGTGTTAATTATCACTTGTTTTACTATATGACCTAACGGAGAAGGTAGCAGGCATTGGGTGATGGAGACAGACATGAGATTGGTGATGGCATCTGGTAAGCATAATTAAACTAGTTAGATCACAAAAACTTAGAACCAGAACAGATCAAATATCTGCTGATCACCTATTCACTGAGTCCTTTTGGGAAAATTATTGCAGGCAGACAGCAAATCAATCACCACCAAGGAGAATGTGGAACAGAGAGGTACAGATGAGAGTGTGCACAGAAAGCCTGTGATAATAGTTTTCTAGTAGTTATAGCATAGTAATCTGAGATCTTTTAAGCATCTAAAGTAAAATAACCCATTCGTTAGAGCTGCCTTTCACTGTTGAACTGTTAACTGAGAATAATTGAGGTCCAATTATTAATATTATTATTATTTTTACACATGTTTTTTAAGCTGCTCTATTTTTCTTCTATTTCATTATCTCATTCATGTAAAGCACTTGTCCATGTACTGATTTGTGCGATACAAATAAACTTGCCTTGCCTGTATATCATCAGTCCATAAATTAATATGCATACCTTTAGAACGCCCTTAGAAAATAAACAATTTACTTTTTTTCTTGCCAGTTTGGGTCAAACTACATCAGCTGAATCATAGTGATAATAATTAATATTTTTACATAAAGATGGCATT